AAAGTAAGAAATTTAGAACCAATTTTAAACAAGAACCAAAAATTGAGATTCATAAGTAATTTAAAAATATCCTATAAATGTACAAAAGAATTTAATAAATGTTAAACCTAAAATATTTGAAACAAGTAAAAACTAAATTAAAAAATAATGGACGAAAAAGAACACGAAAGCAAAGGAATTTAATCAACTTACATGCTACTTCATCAGGAGGAGGGAACATTGAAATCAATTAAAATCTCTCTTCCATAAAAAATCCTTGCTTTTATGTAGTCAATATATATATATATATACATAATTTATACATATTTAATTTTAAAGAAATCTAAGTTGTTATCTTCCTCAGTATGTCTTAGACATAGCCATGAAGGATATTGAAAGCTATTAAGAGTTCCAGGCTTCGGCAGCGCAATCAAAATCATGACATAGATATATACTAGGTGTGACACAAAAAATCGAGACTAATCCAATAAATCCATTGACTAATCCATTGTACTTACAGAATCAGTTGCCCGTGGCCTTATCACCTTTAAAGTAGTCCCGTTCAGAATTCCCACACTTCTGGTTGCTGCCATTGCTGGTAACATTTCTGGAACGAGGTTTTTGAAAGGCTCTTCAGGAGATTTTACGTTTTTGCCTGAACGTCTTCAATTGAGGTAAAATGGGTTCCCTTTAAGCCAGTTTTTAACTTTATGAAATAAAAAAAGTAGCATGGAGCCAAATCAGGTGAATAAGGAAGATGCCTCATCACAGTAATGTTTTTGCTGGTCAGAAACTGCTTGACAGACAGGACCGTGTGATTAATTAGCAATAATTAATCACACGGGTGCATTGTCCTGGTGTAACAGCCGTCCCTCACTCCACAACTGTAGCCTTTTTTCCTTAATTTTTTCATGAAGTCTTTTTAGTACTTCAGTATGGTAGTATTGATTTAGTAGTGTTGATTGATACTTCAGTGTAGTAGCGATTGTTGTAGTGCTGACCACTGGGAACCCACTCAATCATAACAATTTCATTAATGCCGAAGAAGACAATTAACATTGCCTTGAATTTTAATTTTGACACGCGTGCTTTGTCCCTTCCCTCTGAAAACCGCTTATGCCATTCAAACCCACGTGCAAGAGACAAAGTTTCATCATTTGAAATGTTTCTGTGGTTGATTTCTTAAGTTTCACAAGAAACTTGATGTTGATTCGCTGTTCGGTTTATACATTAGACCTTTTTAGGGCAAAATGCAGTTGTACATGTTCACTCAATAACACAGTACTCCCAAATGGTGGGATCGGTTTCGTCGCAACTGGCCGCGTGGATAGAGGAGGTGTGTGGGATCACGTCACCGAAACAGTCGTTGCCAATTCCACTCTTTTTCGAAGCTACACACTTTCTTTTTTTTGTGTCATACCTCGTATATATATATATATATTATTATAATTTATATATTATATATTATATAATATATATATATTTAAAAACAAATTTAAAAATTTAACAAAACACGTATAAAAGTAAAAAAAAGCAAATTTAAAGCCAAAATAATTTTTAAAAAAAAAATTTTAAAAATGTGCAAACATATAAAAGATTTAATTCTCGAACTAATCTACATATCATTTAAATTCACAAGCATAAGCAAATCAAGTGCAAAACCAATCCATTAAAATAAAAAACTGGGAATTTAAATGTTATTGCTAATTAATTCACTAAATTAATTAATAAAAAATGAACTATTGTATTAAACTATTTAAGTTAATGAAACTAAATTATTTAGAGAGCGAGTTTAAAAGAAAAACAAAACTATTAGAAAAAGAAAGTTGTATTTTAAAATTATAATAAAAATGGCTTTAAATTTGCTTTTTTACTTTTATACGTGTTTGTTAAAAAATTTAAATTTTTTTAAATTTAAATTTCATTCCTTGCAGCAAATGGCGCAAAGAAAAAAATTTATTTAATTAAATTAAATTTATTCTTATGAAACTATTATATATGTATATAGGCATTTCAGCCAAAATTCACTCTGCCCTTTAATTGTGCCTATTCAGGAACATTTACATTTTTACGATACGAAGAAAGCAGTGAGACACCACCATAGCAAAAACAAGCATGAGTGCCGCAGTTATGCAATACACGAACTGACTCGGATTAAGTTCCGAATTCGTTACAACGTCAGCGTTATTACGTCGTGTGATATGGACTGACCTAGAAATGACTCAGATCAGAAAAAGCATTACTATTTTTAGAATAGAGAGAGAGGGAACTGAGGGTTTCTTGATAGCTTAAATTATAATTTTGATTTACATATGTTTTAACTTGCATATATATGTAATAATAAAATTCCATAATCAAGTATACACTTAAAATTCTAACTGTATGTTCTTTTCATTTCTAATGGCGACGTTCTCTTATTTGAAAGTACGTGGAATTAATTCCACAGCCCCGTAGTCAAGTTGTTTTTCCCGCCTTTTCTACACGTACAGTTACAGAATGTTCTGGAAATATTTAAAGCGAACTGGATTGGCTGACGTCATTTCTTGGAAGCTCCGCCTTTCCAGAGGCTATAAAAGGACTCAAAGGAATATCGGGGCTTTTTCTTAAATGTCACGATGCAGTAAACTTCATACAAAAAGTTATTAGTAATTCTTTTTATTTACTCCGGATATCTGATTTTTGTAACTGCTATTTCTCCTGAATAATAATAAATGGATCCTGTTTTTTTAAAACTTATCGTCTGATTATTTAAGCTACGACTAAAGATGATACATCATATATATATATATATATATATATATAATCGTTATTTTACTTTGTAAATTTAAAAAAATGTTTTTCGTTCATAAAAATCGAACCAATATTAATTCAACTGAAGTAGAATATTCTAATATGAAGCGTAGTATTTTCTACTAAACAATTCCTTAAAATTTCTGTGTGGTATTTTACGATTATCTGAAGCATCTTCATTTAATGTCTAGCAGAGAAATTAAAAAAGATTTTTTTATTATTAAAAGAGCAAGCAAAGCCTGCTGTTGAAATTTCAGTGGAGGTTAAAGGCGTTTTTTTTCCTTTTCTGAAAACATGCTTAAAGCCCGGAAGACTGCATTCGACGAGAAATGATCCCTATTACGATTACGATACGATTACGTACTTTTCACGTTAAATTCTTCCTTTTACCTATTCCTGCGTAATGCACTTGATGAGTGCTCGGAAAGGTTCGTCGATTCTACAGACTGAAGGGCCATTAACGCTAAGTGCACTTAAAAGGAAGGCTACCATGGTAAAAAAACAGCACCAAAAACAGATCTTTTTCTTCCCTTCAACGCAAATGGCACGGCTGGATTGAGAATTTTGTTTTCAGTGTGCATATTCCTTAATTACAAAGAGCATTTTTCACTTATAAACTTGTAAATGAGCATTCGAGATAAGATAGCCAAAGTTTTACGTTCGTGCTATTAACAAGTTAATGCATGTTCTTAATAAAGTTCGAAAGTTTAATGATGTTTACAGAATTGCCGTAATATAGTCAGAGGCATCAAATTTTAAATGCAGAGAAATTATTCTTAGCGATTAGCTAATTGATGCGCTAGGAAATTGCCTCGCCTAGAACTTTAGAAAGCTATTCTATTGCAGGATTCAGTAAAGTAACTGCTTTATAATTTAAGGAAACATTGATAATTTATTAAGGTAGCTTTCGAGTATAATTATCAGTAAACAATGAACGCAGATTGTTCCTAATTGCAACAATGAAAATTCTTTTAAGTTTTAAATTTTGCTTAGTTTGAATTTGTCTTTCAACAAAATATTTCGATGAGATTTCTCACAACATTTTAGTTTTACAAAATTCATTTTAGAGTAATTTTAAATTGAAATACGGAAGCAATGCAAATAAGTACACACAAAACTTTTGTTTAATTATCTTTTGCTTATAATGACTAACTTTATCTTTAAGACACAATAACACGCCGAATAAATACTAATTCAGAAGACAAACATTAAAAATCAGCGTTATATTTACAAAATTTCCACAGGACTAGTTTCGATGGTTTTACCGAACCACCATCCTCAGCTGCAAAACCACAAATGAACAAGATAGGAAAAAATTATTAGATAAGATAAGAAAGCCTGGACAAGAATAAGCACGTGGCGTCATCTGTTGGTGAAACTAAAACATAATTTCTTTAAAGGCCGAAGGCAAATTTGGATTGGAATTAGGATCGTTAACTAGAACAGAAAGATTTTTATGAATGTGAAATGCCTCTAGAAAATCCAGTTCTTCAATGGAAGATGTTTTTTGAATAATTTTGGCAGCAGAAAAATTCGCGTCAAGGAACATGAGGCATATGTTAGAAGAAAGGAAACACAGAAGTCTTCTGTTGCGCAACATTGTTGGTCCGAAAATCACACTCTCAATTTTTCTGCTGCCAAAATTATTCAAAAAAACATCTTCCATTGGAGAACTGGATTTTCTAGAGGCATTTCACATTCATAAAAATCTTTCTGTTCTAGTTAACGATCCTAATTCCAATCCAATTTGCCTTCGGCTTTTAAGAAATTATGTTTTTAGTTTATTTCATCAACAATGGCGCCACTTGCTTATCTTGTCCAGGCTTTCTTATCTTATCTAATCATTTTTCCTTCTTGTTTATTTGCAGTTTTGCAGCTGAGGATGATGGTTCGGTAAAACCATCGAAACTAGTCCTGTGGAAATTTTGTAAATATAACGCTGATTTTTGTTGTTTGTCTTCTGAATTAGTAACTTTGTCTTGTTCAGATGAATGATCGCCGTCACAACTTATTAACTACGTTCGTCAAGCTTCAATTCGCAGATAAATTTAAAACTCAAGAAAATGTTTATTGCCACATCAATTTTGTTTTTATACTACAAACTGAAAATTCAAAATTTATAAAGAATTTCGACCTTACTAGTTTTAGGTGCAATTAATACAAAATGTTTACCTTAACTCGAAACACAATCAAAACAAACTTTACGCTTACAAGCTTTAATTCCAACTCACCTCTCTACTCAGCACTAACTTTTAAAATGGTATTTCATCAACACCAGCCCTTTAAAGAACATTCTAGCTCAATAGAACTCAAATCATGTCGTTAACGCCTTTTTAAATATCAGCAGCAGTCACCATTCAAGCTTAGTCTAGTTTGAGTTCCGGTGGAAGCCTACAGAAACATAGAAAGGACAGATAAGAATTAACATAAAATTCTTTACCTAATTCGTTTTACTCTTATCAGCAAGCATAATATAAATTCTTAGATGGAAAAATTATTTCGTGAAACGCATTTTCGGAAATATTTTTTCCTTCTCCGTAAAAATATTTATTATCCAAATGATCATTTTCTTACATGTCAGCTTCATCTGTCTGATCTCCTCTCCCAGGATAAGTGCTAATCAGCGCAAAACGGATCAGATTTTAAGACCATCGGTGGGGAAGAGTTTAGATCAGCAGTTCTCAACCTTTTGACTAAGACGTATCATCTAAACAAAAATTAAAAACTTTAGTACCACCACTACATTTTAAAACGATTATTTTCAATTTCTGAATAGAAATATTAAAAAGAAATATAGTTTGGCATTTGCACAACCTACTGGCTATATTAAATGTGCACACATGAAATATATAGATTAAAAATTGGTTACCATTTTAATTATCAAATTTAATTTATAATATTGTTACGAAATGTACAGGCGCGGTAACATAGCTTCTCCGCAAAGCAATTTTAGGGTTGCCATAAAAGGGCAAAAAAGAGAAGGGTTGCCACATTTGGCAAGAAATCGCCCATTCGGCGACAAAATTGGCGATATGCCATGGACTGATGGAGAACCTTCTGGAACGAATTATCGGTTTAGCCAAGAATGTTCTCGCACACAAACTGAAAGCTATATAAACCCTGCTGGTACGCGGAGAGTGAGTCAGTATCGAGTGTATTCAGAGTTAGTATCGTGAGTGTGTGCCTCGTCGAGAGTGCGAGCTAGTTAGTCTCGAGTTGGTGTCTCGTCTAGCGAATCAATCCTTGCGGAGTCGATCGAGTTGACAGCCGTACAGCGAGTGCCGAGTGGGTCGTCGAGTGCACCGAAAGAGTCTCGTAGTGTATCGCGGTTACTGCATCCTCGAGAGAGCGTGTTGAGCTCCAGGAACGACTGAACCGAAGAGTCGGGAGCTGTGCTCTGTGTGTCGTCGAGTGCATCGCGAGTTGTAGCGTGGAGAATCTCGAGAGTACGTGGAATTCCGAGAACGACCGAGCAGAGTCGGGAGCTGTACTGTGGTGCTTTGCCGTGAAGCTGTCTCCACGGTGATAGCCTGAGGGCTGTGTCGCTGATTGTTCCAGCGAGTGTATATTAGATCTTCGACGACTGTAAAAAGTGACTTTTAGTGACTGAAGCTGTCCTGACAATACTGGTAAATAAAAGTTTGTTTGGATACTTCATCAAGTAGTGTCGTCATTATTCACTCTAAATCCATACGAACCCCGTACGAACATGAAGGAAGAAAATAACGTAGCAACTGGTGTCAGAAGAATAAAAAAAAACGCAACAATACTTTAATTCTAAAATTTAGTGTGAAATTTGGGCCTGTTTAAGAGAGATCAATTTCTTTATGTGTGGTCTTATTTCACTTAACTTTACACGTAAATTACGATCCAATTTTAATTTTGTTCTCTATTTCTTTTTCAAATAAAACGTGGAAGAAAATACGTGTCTACACAAATAGGTTGTGCAAGAAGGTAATAAGAATTTAACAGCTTTGTTTCAAATGCTTTTAATTTTTTGTTTTTTATTCAGCAAAAAGTTAATAAATGTGTTATTTTTTAAATCTTCAGTTATAGTTCGATCACAAGAAATTTCTATCAGTTGTTCTTTTCCTTCACGAGATATTTTAATTTAATAGTTAAACATTTTTTTTGTTGCCTTTTGTCTTGCGTACCACCAGTGGTACGCGGACCACCTTCTTTGCGTACCACCTATTTTTGTCTTGCGTACCACCAGCGGTACGCGGACCACCGGTTGAGAACCGCTGGTTTAGATTGTTTCATTTTTACAGATTTCATCCACCTAAAATTGTTGGGAAGAGACGTAATTTGGTAAAAGACAAAGAGAGGTTCAGAATACCCTTGCTGCGGAGTTACTCTAAATTAAGATAAAAGAAATTAAGATACTTTATAAACCCAGTAAACACTTCTCATGCTACAAGTTGTAATAAGAAATGTAAACTCTAACGAAGATATAGATTTACTATTTCTTTTTTCTCACTACATCTACTAAAAATGTTACATAGTACATTTTTTAGTATTTAATTTTTTATATCGTTTTATCTCCTTCACTTATTTGTGTACGTTCGATTTCTTCTTTGTTTAGCACATATTTCAAAATTTATCAGAAATGATCAGATTATACTTATCTCTTCTGCGCATTTATAACTTTCGTCTGAAAGGAATTTTCTCAGCAACTAATGAGAATAAAATAACAGATTTTGTTATTCGAAAGCTCACATGCTAATATAGGAAAGTCTAAAAACTTTTCATATTATCCTTATGAAGTTATTACTATTCGAATAAATTTTCATGCTTTAATTTTTTTTTACTCCTCGTTTTACTGAATACATAGGAAAGAAATTGTATTAAATTTTCTCACTGCAGCAGTAAAGAACTTAGAAAGTAATCATTGTTACCGGAATTTGTATTATTCAGAGTATTTTGAATTGTCGTAGTTTATGTTAGTCTTACTTTGTAAATTAGGAAGCTATTGAGGGCATAGAGGGCTTCGTAAGCTAGGATGGTATCTTATATCACAAGTATAGTTTTACGTTAATTTTTCAAATCATTATTTTCAACTGTTTTAAATGGATGTAGCATTTTCAAGATGCTTTAACAGAGAGCCTACATGTTAACATTAGGAACTTAGCTAAATAGTTTCCATTTATTCACTTCTTACGTAATTAGAAGAGGGTTTTTATTACAGTTTGAAATTTCCAGAACTGGACAGTATTGGATTTGGAAAAACAAATAATGAAATTTCTAGTGGAATGTTAGCTCTTTTAGTATGTTATCTATTCATTTCTAATCATCAGTTATTAGCTTCATCAGATTTAACTCTTATTTATCTCTAATGTTTATTTGATCTTGAATTCTTACATTATTCACCTTAATTTTGTGATTAAAAAATCACAGGTGTTTTCTTTATATTCTGTTACATTATAAAATTAGCAAAGCAACAGCCATGAGCCATGTGTTTGGAGTAAATTTTGTCAAGAATTCGGTCAATTTCGAGGGCAATCGAGCACAGATCTCTTTTCATCAGGAGCAAAGAAATCTGCAAGACACGAAAGCAGCGGACGCAACGGTCGCAATTACACCCTACAGCAGTAAAGCAAACAAGATAAAGAAGGTAGTGCCATCTGTCGACTAAAATAACAAAAATTGAAAAATTAAGATAACGGAATTTGAAAAGCGTTGAAAGGACTGAATTGAACTTTTAGGCAAAAAAAGTTTAGGTAAAAAAAAAAAGGCATACCTTTCTGAATGTGAAAAGCTTTAAAAACATCAATTTCACTAATGGAAGAACCTTTTTAGAAACTTTTTGCAGACCCAAAGTAGTATTAAATTTTTGGCAATAAATGGCACTACCTTCTACTTCGCTTTACCGCTGAAGTGTATCAATACGACTGTTGCTTACTCTGCTTTTCAGACATGCAGATTTCTTTGCTCTTGAAGAAGAGGGACCTGTACCTGCTTACCCTTGAAATCGATTGAGTTTTTGACTGAATCTACTCCATACGTTTATTGCTTTGTTATTAAATTTTAATACAGAACTAAGAAGCTTAGCCAAATTAAACTTTAAATTACAATTCATTTTGTAGAAAGCTTTATAATCTAATTTCTGTACTATAAATAATATTTGTTGTTCAACACATAAAGAACTCCCTCTCAGATTTCGGTAATGGGGAATGCACAATAGTACTTTGCATTCCCCATTACCGAAATCAGTGCGCTTTTCACAGACGTCTTCCCAATGAAGCGCAATTAAATTGCATAGCATTGCCTTCTGAATAGTCTTCGTCAGAAATATTTTAATAGCTGTGACTTACCTCTCGACCGTTTAATCGGAAGAGAAGTCAATTGTAATTTATTTTATTATTTAAGAGAGACTGGCTTTTATTACTTAATGCAATCTGTTCAGCAGATTGTGTATTGTATTTTAATGTGTGCGTTTACCTGGTTTTATATGACTTCATCTTTTTTTATTAATAAATATTTGATTTCATCAAATTAGATCATCTCACCTTGTGTTTGGCGCATCATAATCACCTTTGGTTTTTGCCCCAAAAATTTTACTCACTCACTCGGTAGTTTTGCGTAATTTGAAATAGATAGTAAAACAAATTCGATATTAAAAATTCTGGTTTTCGAATGCCAATATTCGGGTGGAGGACTACGTTTTTCAAATTCTGTTGTCACTATGTAGCGTTGTGTTTCGTAATGCGAAAAACATTCATGATGATTCTTCATTATTTAATTTCTTTAAATGCAGTACAGGGTGATAATTTTTGGCAGTAGAAATTTGAAAAGCGAAACAACGCATTTAAGTGTTTCGATGCAAAATACCGTTTCGAGACTAATTCCGATTCGGGTATAACGTCTCTTTTGGGCTAATAAAATATCGTAATCAATAAATATTTAAGAAATAGCTATAATGCATTTATCTTAAGATGTATTATTTCCCTTTATGTATATGTACAGTGCTTCTTCCTTCTGAAAGGGTCATGTAAAACACTTCATTTGAGGGACTTACCAATATTATATATGTTACGGTGAAACACCGAAATCTGGAGAATATCGACTTTCACCGGTGAATGTCAACATTCACATAGTCGCTTGGCGTATGTCCGAAATATTTTCCAAATACCCTTATTTCTGACTTACACCGGTGAATATCGACATTCACCATGTACTAATGGTAAATGTTGAATATATAAGAATATTATATTTCCTTCTCCGTAATTCATTCCCGAAAAAACGCACTTGAAACTCAGAATAAGAACTTAAGAACATAAGAACTTAAAAACACACAGTACATTCAAAATGAGAAAGGAAAATAATAGAAGTTATAAACTTACCAAATTATGTGATTCAAATCTTATTTATTGCAACAACTTAAACTATTATGACACTTTGAATTGCACGAGAGGCCCTTGCTTTTACGACTGCATTAATTTTGGAACACTTCCTTTTGGAATGGCAGCGTGTACATAGACTCCTCTCTTTTCGACCTACACCAGAGCATATCTGCGATTGTCGACATACACCGGTGAGGGTCCGAATGTACTAGAATGTAAAGAAATATTCGATCTTTCACCGACGTATTTGGTGAATGTTGACATTCTCCGGTGAAAGTCGGCATTCTCCAATTTCGTCTTTCACGGTAACATAGACACCAATGCTTATTTTGTAATTTATCCTTCATGAAT